TCTGCACTTTGTATTGCCAACTGCATCGGAATATAGTTTGTATTTTTAGTGGCCCATGGATCTGACTCCATTTAGATCGCATAAATGATTGTTATCGCCTATTCTCGTATATAATCGTCGACTTAAATCACGTTAGTCAATAACGGAATTTAGATAAGTCAATTAACGAGAATGGCCTTTCAATACATATATTTTGTATGTAAAGTGAATGTAATAGAACAGAGCAAAATGACGCGCAGGGAACAAGGCTGAGAAGCCAACTCCATTTCAAACCAGGCATTACTCAATATTTATAGGCAGACAAAATAAACAACAGACATGTGATGAGTCATGGGACATGAAGTGTACACACATATACGCTCATATAAAAACAATCAAGACTGACAAGCGAATAATTGACAAGGTCAAAATATGGCTCAAGTAGGATGAATAAAATGGGATATCCGCAAGCTAGAATAAGGTATATGGGCTTGGCATAATAACTGACACTACATATTCAACCGACTTTATTGAAGCATATGGCCGATATTCAATCGGGACCCCCAACCTAGTGTTCCAATAGCCTTACTATCGACTTGACCTTGTAAATTACTCGCTTTAAACTCATATAGCCTGACAAACCATGTATTATATAAAACTCACCTTTGGTAACTTTGTATAATAAACTCTCGTGGTCATTAGCTGTCATGGTTTTGACGTGTTTACATCAAGCTACATACATACTTCGCCATTTCATAAAGACTTGACTCAACGATCATTATCCTCTAAGTTATTTTCAGTTCATTATCACTAACATGTCGAGACCAAATTCCATCAGTCATATATTCTTTTTCAAGTGAATAGTTATGTTACCTGATTACTGACGCCTGTTACACCTCGTCGAGGAACATAGGTCAACCACCAACATTCTCCATTCACCTCCGTCCTGATCAATCCTTTCCGGTTCTTCACAGTTGCCAATCATTCTTTGTTCCTTGGTCTTCCAGTCTTTCTTCTCTCATCAAGATTCCAAGTTGGCGCTTATCCCGTGATGCAGTTTGGTGATTCTCTCAATGTATGTGCTACCGAACTCCAACATTGTTCTCTACCACAGTTGGTTGTTGCCGATGGTATCTAACCAACGGATAATGAGTATGTTGAGCAGGCAATTGTTTATAAGAAATTGTACCATATCGATGATGGTTGCGGTAGTTCCACAAGTTTAATCTGCATGTAGTAGAACTGTCTTGACGTTCGTATTGAAGATTCTGACTTTGATATTTGTTGGAAGTTGTTTTGAGTTCCGTGTGTTCTTCAATCGCAGAACTGGTGTCCTTGCTTCAACAATTCATGCCTTTACATCAGTATCATATCATCTTTGTCCGTCAATGATGCTGCGTGGGTAGTTACGTGAATGTTTCCGCCTCTTTCAGAGTTTCTCCATCAAGTGTGGTTGAGTTTGTTTTTGAGGATCTTGTTTCTTCCCTTGTGTGTGTTGAGGCTTACTGATTCAGAGGCTGCTGCTACACTGGTCGTCTTCATCTGCATTTTTTCATGCGTATAGCCTAGAAGATCTAGGTGATCTGTGAAGTCCAAATCGTCTAGTTGCATGCAAGTTGTCCATTGTATTCCGGTCTTCCGAATTGTCTGGACATTCCATGTGCATATATTAATTTTTGCTCTGTATGTTATAAGGGGCATCGACCTGGTGAATTTTAAAGAATCTCGGCTCTCACCATGAGGTGTCATGATACTCCTCAACAGAGGTCCCTTAAATTCCAGGTCAGAGTTAAAAATGTTTTAATTTGTTTAATCTGGTTGGCGTTTTTTAGTAAGGCTGTTTTCCATAGGATGAGGTGGCTAACTTCCTGTTCAACTCTCCTCCTTCACCCATGTTTGGGAAAATCAGAAGCCCTAGAAGAGCTTAAGGCGGAGTTGAATAGTTGTGTTAAATTCTTCGTTCCGTACGGATCCATTGCCGAATAACACGAACGACACCTTCGTGCTCTCTTTAGTTTCTACGGGCTTGTTACGCCATCGAGAGATGTAAATGACGACAATCCAATTGTAACGTGTTTAAAGCTCATCTCCACTCAACTTGTAATTCTTCAACAAATAGTGTGTAGAAGATAACCATGGGTGTCGCACAAGTTACAAGGCTAGCTTCTTGTGGAATATCGCCAGTTCCATCTAATTTCTACACAAACTGAAGTTGCGATGTTTCAGTATGCTTCTGATTGTGACTACAATTTCAACTGACATTCACACCCTGAATCTAAGGAGGTATGTTCTACTTTCATTCTTATTTCTCATAGTTCCTAGAAGCTTTAAGCTTGCTATCTTCACACTACAGAAGTGTTGGAGATGTAGAATATCACCGTCTTTCACAAACATCTTAAAGCAGGTCGTTGATATCGCTTAGTTCGCCAATTACTTTCCAACAACAGAAATATTCGATAAACTTATCGGAGTCATCCATAATGCGTATTTACTGTATATCGACTGAAAAGTCAGCTGTTTTAGTGATTCCATCTGGAATTTGTCAGATTTACAAGAGGAAACATCTGTTTCTTAGTCAGATATATATTAGCAGTGTAGATAAGAACTTCTCATGATCAGCCCCTACAGATTAATGTAGAACAAATCAAGGAGGGTCTTCCTTATGTTCATTGAAAGACTTTCAACATATACGATGTTTCGACAAAGTATCCCCATATATAAACCTAGATAAATAAATCTTGATAAAGCTTGAACTGATTCTTCAACTTAATGCTAACTAGTAAGTTATTATTTTAATTTTTTACCACAGAATGGTCTCATGAAGAACTTTATTGTAAAGAATACTTTATACACGAACATAGAAAATTACTCATTTTATTGGGAAGAAAACCTAACCAGAACATGTGACTGACATATGATAGACAAAATGTCATCAATGAAGTGATCAAAGGCTATTAAACCATTTAAGTTTTAATTTAGAACAGCTCACAAATAAGTAGGAATTGCACTCAGTAACATCGGAAAATAAAGATGAACACAGGGGACTGTAAAAATTCGTAAGTGGAGAAATAGTCACTAAAAGTATAATGGAATTCGGACCCTCGCAAATAAACTAAAGCACTTCTTACGTGGAAAAATGAAAACCTGGCGAATTACTAATACTTCCTACACTATATTATTATCAGGTTTAATAAATTAGATTAGTATGTCAAATTCTGTAGAACTAAAAGAACAAGAGAAAATTGAATTTTATTTCTGAAAAAATGAGATGTAGAAATAGAATACTGTATTATTACATCGTGATAACAGATAAAGGAATAAAGAAACAATTATTTATTTGTTTCCTCGTATTCAGGATTCTTTCGGAGAAGTATGAAACCCTCTAAAGGAAGTTGTGTTATAGGTAAATATTCATCCGTTGCAAGTTCTGCACGCTCACCATGAGATAATAAAACTGGTGTGGTATGCGTCTGAAATCCTGTAATGGTTTTCGGCCTTCCTGCCTGACCAACAACATCGACAGCCTGACCTACACGAACAGTCACAAGCGAAGGTTTCAAGTCTTCATCGAAAGTCATCAACAGGCGAGGTTGAATTGCAGGTGTAATATAAAAAATCAGGTAATCGTGTCTACTCATAAATGTCATCCTCATATCCAGACAAGATGTTAACAGTATGAGAAGTCCAGCTAACCCAACAGGACGGCATAGGAATCTATCAGAATGCCAAGGACTCAGTGTGAGTGTCCCTTTTCCAAGATGTGTTAAGCCTTGAGCAAGTCGAACTAAGAACAAATTGTATGGATCGCGGCTATGATAAACAGCAAGCTGACGTTATGTAGCAGCTAAGTAAGTACAGAAAACAAATTGCAACCACTTTCGCATGCGTTTGTTCAGTTTCCAGTCGATTGACTCACGTCAACTGTCTCTGATGTTGAAGAGGACTAACAAACTGCTCGATATTATATGAAGTGCCCGCCGGTAATCTTGCTAGAACCGAACGACTTTCCGCTGGTTTTGTAAGGGAAAATGACCCTAGCATGTCGTATTGCTTGTAGTTCCCTTCATATACCCACTTTGGTACTAAACTGAACATAACAAGTTACCATTTTACCATGGGAAACAAATAACCTCACATGACAGTACGTGTAAACATATTTGAGGCCTAAATCAGTAGTTACAGAACTCCGTACTACAATCACTCCTTACTGAATCCTTCGAAAGAAGACTCAAAAATTTCTGTGATTTAGAAGGGTAGCAGAATCTCAGTGCTTCTCATACTTACATTCCGGAAAGTCTTGTACAAGGATATTGATGACAATCAAAAGTTGAGAGTAAAGAGAGGTGAAAGTATATCTGAGTAACGGTTGATGTGACAGATTGTATTTAACGTAGGGTGACAGTCGTCATAATAATCGTACACCGTTATGTACTCAAACGTGGTCTGGTACTGATGCTCGACAGAGCTGCTTCTGCTGTATTCAGTAGAACTAATGAAACCAGCACCAATGTCGGAGACTAACAGGAATGTTTATTTTGGGAACTTATTCATTTTTACTGTTTGTAAGCACTGTAAGGAATAGCTTTTGTTACTAGCTAACTCTTTTGCACTTCAGTTCTAGAAGGAATATGACAGGAATTATGTCTTAACAAACAAGATATTTCATTTAAGAGAAAACTTTATATGTTCTTAAGGACTAAGGCTAGTATCTTACAATGATCCACCAATTTATTTTTACTCGTTTATCGTTAATATTTCTAGGTTCCTGCCTGAAGGTATTGGTAATCTACTGCTACTAGACACAGAAGCCTATTAAGCGAGAGCCTCTATTCAGTCCAACCATTTGAACCATTTGAACTCAACAATTGAGTATCTGATACTTCAACAACTAAACGAGGGCATGAAACGACTAGAACGACAAGCTGTTCTAACTGTTAATATTACTTCCTAAGGTTTATAATCATATTTTAATTGATTTTGAATGTTGTAACATTGAACCTACCAAGACGTATCCTGTTCTTTTCGAAATCTAACGTTGCAATTACAGGCTTCCCGCCAGTTCTGTTGAATTTCTTTCGTTTCATTAATAAGTTTTCTACTGATGTCTGTACAGTCTGGCAAGTCAGCATCTGTAGACTTCTGGTGTTGGGACGAAGTAGTTCGCAAGACTAAATCTACAGTTCTTGTTCTTGAGTCTCTGAGATCAGAACAACAGCAGATATCTGCTGATTTAGATTTAATAGCGAATTCGAAAGACGCCGATCAGCACGATATTTTATATGCCAAGGAAAAAGCATCTTCTTTGGATTCAATCATTCAAAAAATTTGTAAAGGTTTGGATGATGCCAACGTGAGTTGCTTCAAGGTATATAATATTTCTGTTAAAGGTTGTAATATTATTTTGTGACTACCTTCAAAAAGTAGAAGCAGAAAAACAAAAGTTACGGTATCAGAGTCGTCGGCTTTTTCAGGAGAACTCTTGGTTGAGAGATGAACTTGCGGTTGCCCAAGAAGCACATAGGAAAAGTGAACTAAAGATAGTTCAACTTGAAGAAGAAGTAAAGCATCTTCAATTTAGCAGTGAATTGCGAAAATATGACTCTTCTGAACCCGTGGAATCCTCGGGACTAACCGATGGCGAGAAGAACAATGATAAAACTGCCCTTGATCTTGGGTTTCCTCCTGATGATAAAGAAGAAGGAGATCAGTATGGTAAGATGATTTTGTGATAAATTGTGTTTACTCAATGTCATATATCCGGATATATAAAGTTGATTCTAATGGGATAACCACGTGGAAACAAGGACGAAATTTCAAGGAATTGTTTAGAATGCTGCTTTGTTATGAGTGGGGTCTTAACTGTGTATACTCCTCAACGGTGGAGAATTTTTGTTGTGCAGGATGAGGATTTAAAAAGATAATCAAAGGTTCTCGATTGAACCATCCAACTCAGAGAACGGAGTTTTATTCAACATTGTCATGAAGTTAGATGTTGAATACAGCTGGTTTAAATGAAAAACGGTTGGTTTTGGACAATGTAATAAATTTTTTCGACTTAGTGTTTACGGTACACCTAATGAGTACCGAGTAACACTATAACATCGATAGCTTGCCTGGACTTTTTTTATCGCTTACTCTTATTGCAGTTGTGGTTTCGTCATGACAATTTTGTGTCTAAAGTTCATAATATCATTCATGGTCAGCTTAGTGGTAAGTACCTAATCAGATTTCTAAACTGATCAACTAACAGTCACATTCTGTAGCCTCCTGTGCGAATTTTCTCAAATTGAGGGATAGAACATTCTCAGCTCGAACCCTTATGTTTGAATTAGACAAGAATCTTCACTAGATGTAAACTACCTATACTATATCATACAGTAGTCAAAATTCATTGCTTAGAGGTTCTTTCACATTCAAACCGTGTAACATATACACTTATGACCTACTATTTACATTTTATTCATTGGTTTTACTTTCACTGACCATGTGGTAACATAAACCATGAAGTATAATTACCGTTTGATATGCACTGGGACATAGTTAATGAAACTTCGATGGAAAGTCAAGTAGGCAATGCACTACACACTTCCCACTTGTTGTCTAATCTATTGTTAACATAAGGTAATATATAGGAAACATTTTAAAATTAATGGTTGGGAAATACATATATGAAGTTATAATATCGTCCTTCAAAATGACCACTTTTCTGTCTAACGTGGCTGTATCATTTGGTGGCTTTAAAATGACTCGGGGTATGAGATCAATCCCTTGAGATATATGAGTGAGTTAGTGATCTCAGGAGTTTTACATTGTAAATTTATAACTCATCCCACTAATACATCACAGTTTTGACTCCTAGTTTTCCGACGACAATTTAGGTAACTATATCCTCAATTCATACACAACGGTCTTAGCTCATAACCTTGGATACGAGCATGCATTTGATCAGTTGACAACTCATGTTTGTGTTATGCTTATCGAGCCCAATTTTGGTAGTCCTGCAAACTGGTTTTTATATTTTGGCACCAAAGTTTCATTTTATTCCAAAGCCAATGTGTAGATTAAATTCTTATAATATAGAAGTAATTGGAAACCACCTTGTTATGGACCGAAAATTATTGAGTATCTGCTGCATGACTGAAGGAGAATTTTTCCAGTCTCTTTAAAATTGCTGTCATTCATAATATTCATGTTGATCGTATCTTTTGAAGTGTATAATCCCTCATGAATGATCTGATCCTTTTGCTGCATGTTTAATTAAATATAAGGTTCAGCAAATTTTTAACCCAAAACAGTGATAAAAGACGATCGTGTGTATGCTTATTGTTGCTTTATTCTCTTTCCAATAAATTATTGTCTTGTGGTTTCTTAACTTAGGAATGACACAGAGTCAAACCGTCTCCATGTCACAGGGTGTTCATAATTATGAAATACCAACGCGTTTGCGAACACTTCATAATTTGGTAATACAGTATGCTAGTGAAGGTCGTTATGAAGTAGCGGTCCCACTGTGCAAACAGGCTTTAGAGGATCTCGAAAGGAACAGTGGACGCAATCACCCTGATGTTGCGACAATGCTGAATATTTTAGCGCTTGTATATCGGTAAGTAATACCTAATTTACCACAGATTTCTTGTTTAGTGATCAAGGAAAATACAGAGAAGCTGCAACATTATTGAATGATGCCCTAACGATTCGAGAAAAGACGTTGGGACCTGAACATCCTGCTGTATTTTCTCCATTTTAACCTTTATGCATATCTTTTAGGTGGCTGCGACTTTAAACAACTTGGCTGTGCTTTATGGTAAACGTGGAAAATATAAAGAGGCGGAACCATTGTGTAAAAGGGCTTTGCTAATTAGGGAGAATGTAAGTCAATTTTTCACGCTCGTTTAACTTAATAACTTTTGTTTCTCCGGATTTTCGAGGATTATTTATCTACTGCAAAATTCTTTAGCATTAAAATGAGATAAATTACCATTCCACAGAATGTGTACCGATGTGTAAATTCATTGGTTTGCTAACTTCCTCTTAAATATTCAAGTTTTTATTTCATTGTTGGGTCTCTAAAAGACATAATGTTATTCGTTTCTTATAAGGATATGTTAACTAATAATCTAAAAGTATTGTCCTTTGTTCATTTGTTGGTTCACTAAATAGGTTGTTGATTTGGGGGGGGTACTTTTAAACATGATACTGGTATTGTTTATATTCGCTGTACTAAGACTATTGTAGGGCAGTATTGTGTTGTTGCCTCACAGTAATAGTTAACAAATGACTTCTTTCGTTCTCGAAACACCAAAATTCAACCTTTCAGACTGCATTTGATGAAGTTGTTGCAACGCTAAGCTTACGAAAAACTAACAAATTAATGAAAATATTATAAAGTGTTAAGGCGTGAACAGCCAATCTAAGTGGTTATGACGTATCCAACCTTAGATGAGAAAATACATTCTTATCAGTGAGATACATTTTCCATTATTATTAGTTACTATTTACTTTCTACCTTTATGTCCCGACCGTTGTTGCTACTAGTATTTGACCACAGATGCCTTAGAAATATTGCTGGCGTCTGCTGGGATCACCGGGTAAGTAATAGTGAAGTTAGACGCAGGGTATTAGGTAATGATGGTAAATTAGTTGATGAGGTTGTGAATCTTCATCGACTGAGATGGTTAGGCCACGTGTTACGTATGCCTGAACACCGATTACCACGACGTGCAATGCTAACCGGTGTTGGAGATGTTTGGAAGAAAGTTAGGGGCGGCCAAACCAAAACGTGGCATCAGTGCTTGAGGTCACTAACTTCTAGTCTGAGCCATGTTGGTAGATGCAGACTACTTGGTTGGGGTCCGCGTGACTATCATAACCAATGGTTGGAGACTCTTGGTGACATGGCTCAGAATCGATCACATTGGCGTAGGTGTATACACTCTCTGTCTTCCCTTAAACTAAGAGATTAAAATCGCTTCATATCTTTCTTTCTACGAACTAATTCTATATTCCGGTACTGTATCCTTATATGCAATCTTTCTCCTATATATTACCACCTTTGACCTAACCACTCCCATGAATCCGGTGTTCATCTTGTTGTGTTAATGAGGTATGGCAACTTGGACCGATGCATATATGTGCCTGATCCTACGTTGTAGCTGACTGACTACCTTTATGTAAACTCGTTGTACTAAGCCTATATTTTCTTGTAGTTTCAGTAACTACACGAATCAGTATCATATCTTAGTTTGGCCATCTCAGATCAATACGGTTGCCTATAAATCCAAACAATCCACTAAACCTTCAAATAATCAGTCATAATCAAAGCGGACTAACAAAAACGTTGGCCAACCCAAGTTACCATGCCACATCAATAGGACTAAATGAAATTGACTGGATCAATAGCAAATGAATCCTACTGATTGCAGTAGCGCTAATAGTGAAGATGGAATGGAGAAATATGTGTTAAAAAAGTACTTGGAATCTAAGTCTTGAGAAAGATAAAGAGTGAATGTACCTGGAGTCTATTTACCAATACGTCTTTTTGTCAAATACATATATAGATAAATCAAGGTGACGCACTGATATTTGGGACTCAGTGTCTACTCAAGAATAACTCAAACTAAGAACTTTCTGACGACTACAAATACACACTTCATGTTACAAACTGTATCCCAAATGTCACAAATACGGTACTACAAAATAAATAACGAATGTTCAATAATTCCAGATCTATTTAACACATAGTATGATCCAGAGATCAGAATAAGAGTTGATGAACAGCCAAAACGAACAACATAAACCAATATATCTGGCTACAAATAAAGCTCTGTACTATCAGAACATAAAAGATTGACAACTTCATCAACTGATGTTCCATATTTCTCCAGTGTCCTACTGCTAACAAGCACCACTATAGAAATACTAATTTTTCGACTGACCAGTATGAAAGGGGCAAAGAACTTTAGTGTTTAAAAAATATTTAATATTATCTCTTTGTGGCTAAACCATTTTTGAACTCGAGTATATCAGAAGATTCCTGAATAAAAGATCAAATAAATGTTTTACTGCCATACGATCATGTGGTCAAGAGGTGTAGGGTCCAACACTGGTAAGCGTTTCTAGGCCTAAATTATAACAAAAAGTTTAATCGATACACCCTTAACCAATTATATTACTGCTTTTTAGGTTTTGGGGCAGGATCATCCGGATGTTGCTAAACAGTTAAATAATTTGGCTTTATTGTGTCAAAACCAAGGGAAGTATGAAGAGGTAAGCTTGATTTAATTTTTTTCTTCGCTATCTCTGCTCACGTTTAAAAACTAGACTATTTCATTATTTTGTTTTTGTTGAATAAATGCATTTCGTCTCGTTTGTATAAATTTTGGATAAAGAGTGCTGTTTACTTCACGCCTACATTCACTTATGTTTCAAGTTTCCAATAAATTTTATAACGCGAAAAATGTGAAACGAATGAGCATTAGTTTTTTGTAAGATCAGGAAACCAGTGTATCTTTATTATTATGCGGACTCTGATGGTGTGGCAAGGGAGAAAAATATACACCAGTACATGTAAGTGTACGACGTCTAAGACACTATCTTCACGGTGTTACAGCCTATTTGAGTGTTGTGTCTTTCAAGTGTAACTTGAAGTTATTGAACACGAAGGACGGCTTTTATCCGAAAAAAATTCTTAGCTACTCTCCACTGTTAGGCATAATTACTGGCATGAGGATAAAGATCAAAGTTGAGCGGAGTGATGTTCTTGTTATGGAAATTTTCTCAATAAAAGTAATTAACTCTTTAACAAAGTTAATAAATTGATGTAAGTATCTTCGACACTGACTTGAATGTTTTGTACTCAAATTATGTGTTTCATTTCATCGATATTCATGTCGACGCATCGTTGTTGGTGCAATATCCAATTATGGTATTAATGCATCAATACGTGTTGTGTGTCATGGGTTACAGTGAAAGTCGAAATGTCATTTACAGACTAAATGTTCATATAGTAGACTAAGGCACATTTTTCACGATGGTTAGTAACAGCACCCCACTTCCCAAACCGAAGGAGGCGGAGTGGGGTTCGAATTCACGATCAGTGTTTATAGCAGAAAATATCACAATAAACTATGTCCAACCTAGTTTTCATTGTATATTACTCATTATGTTTTAAGGGCCGTGATCGAATCTTTTCATAATGGACATTGAAATTGGTAACTATTTATAATGCACTTAGAAGTAGAAAAACTTGATTTTTAAAGCTTGTAGTCTTCAATAAAGGGTCTTGTTATCAAGTTACAGAAGGCTTCATACAATAGAAGTTACAACCATTTAGTCCATTAAAGACAGTGAAATCAGTCATGATGAGTATCACTCCAGATTTGATATAGATATATTATTGTATTTTACTTCGAAAACATCTGATATTTGTAGGTATTTTAATACTGAGGGAATTTCTTCGGTTACCACAACTCATTTCATTCCTTAAATAGAACTCGTGGGTTAATAACCAACATTTGGTTCGGTTTATCAACATTAGTTTTTCTGGTCCCCTAGATTCCGGACATGTTGCTCTATTTTGAGAATATTCAGAACTTTGTTGTGAATAACGTATCTCTTCAGATATTTACTGTAAATGAATAGATATAAATTCACTGTAGTGATATATATTCTGTTATAAATAGTAGACTTACTTAATTCATCATCACTGACAAATTCCGTCTTTCGAAGATTGTCTTCTTGTCAAACGATGTTAAATAGTTCCCCATGTTCAACTGTTCTTGAGTTCAAAACATTACATTCCCTTACTGGTTCCTTCATTTTTTTCTGAGTATAAGGTTTTGAATAGTATTAACCAGCTGTTACACGAAGTTTTCACACAAAATTTCACTGAATTGGTCTAACTTATCCTACTTTACCTAAGATCTTTAAGCGTAATCCAGTTTGAAAAAAGTTCAAGAAATGCCTGGTTGAAATTGTGTATAAGTGGCCAAGTGACTATGAGACTTGTCGTTGCGAAAATCTGAATATTTTTGTGTATTCCCTGCACATACTTTTAGTTTGGTGAAGTGAATATCGTATGCAACTCATTGTGTATACTTAGTAGATAAATATTCCTATTCACTTCGGGATTTTTAACTTCAGTGTTAGTGATATTATAAAAAAGATTTGAATTATCTCGTTGTTGATAATCTTAATTGAATTATGATCTGTCTCCGTTGATATGTGTGCATCCTATGCATATATCCTTAATATAGTTACTTTTCATCCATCAGTCTAATAACGATTGTTTACCTCTTCTTTTTCTGATTGACTAGCTGTTTTATATTGTCCCCACTCTATATTTTCGTATTTAATATTACTAGGTGGAGTTGTACTATCAACGAGCTTTGGAAATTTATATACACGATCTCGGATCAGACGATCCAAATGTAGCTAAAACTAAAAATAATTTAGTAGGTTTTCTTTTTTCCTGTAATATTTCAAATGCTTTAAATCGGTTAAAATGTTTAGTCTTATGTGTGTCAGTTTGTTGTTGTTTCACTCTTATCTAGTAATAACAATGCAAGGTGTGGCTGTTTGTGCATTCTTTTTATCTCTCTCTCTCTCTTATGTATTTTTATTGTTCACTTGAGAACTGTATGCCTTTTAGAAATTGAAAAAGTATATGTATATATGCATATATATCCATATATGTGCATATATACGCCAAACTGTAACCATGTAGTCTTGAAATGAACAAAGTAAAAATTGATTTTCAGCATTATGACAATGTCTCGCCTATCGATTGCCTTGATTACTGTTATTAAATTCTTAGTTATAGGGAGTTACATAATTTAAGCGGGCTTATTCAATAAATAATACTCTTTCATATTTATTGTACTTTTTCATTCAAGAAATTATATGAAAATATTTGAAGGTATGATCAAAAAGAGAACTATAACTACAGACGGTATTTGTTTACATAGTATATTTCTTCTGAGTATCGATCACTTTTTGTATGGTCTTTGAGTAAATGATGTTTAGTCTCTACATGAACTGTCAAACAAAACACATGACATCGAGAATCTGCAGTACCTGAGGTAAACTGTTTATAGCACTTTGCATACATGACTAACCACCACGTCAGAGATAACATGGATAAGAGTAGAACGGGTAGGCGTCGTAGTTATCAGATAAAGACATCGAGCCATTTAACCATGTCTGACAGTTGATTTAAGTATGCTTCGTTGTGACTTTCGACCCGTTAAATATCACGTGATTTATTCACCAATCAGAACACGACTTATACAATCTTAACAATGTAAAAAACAAATAACATTTTGACCGGTATGAACAGCCTAGCGTCCTTATTGGTCCTTGTTCCTGCCTAGCCCTGTCTGTTGAGGCAAGAACGCTTATAACAGCTTCCACTATACGAATCATTTATTTCAGACGTACTTTGTTTATATACAAGCAAAACAGACCACATCATATCTTAAATTAAAAAACAACAATTGTATAAGATCAAGACAAAAAGTGGCTGTGGTTGTGAGAGACTGGAACTAATAATTTGGGAATCACTTGAGAATAGTAAATCTCATAATAATAGTCTATGGATCAGAATAAAGCTTATAATGAGGAATATAAATACACATGATCTAGCTACTCGATATCTATATGATAAGAATATATGTATAATATTAGATTCGAGAATCAACACCAGAAAAATGCAGTAGTAACTTTGTCTAGAATTTATAATATTGACATTTGTAACTTACATCACTTACTTATTTACTTACGCCTGTTACTCCTCGTGAAAAAGCATAGGACCCTCACCAGCATTCGCCATCCAACCCTGTCCTGGGCAATCATTTCCAGCTCCTTCCATCTGTCATTCATCCTTTTCATGTGTGCTTCTATTTCCCCATGTAATGTGTTCTTTGTCTTCCTCTTTTCCGCTCCCCTTCAGGATTCCAAGTTAGGACTTGCTTCGTGATTCAGTTTGATGATTTGCTTAATGTATACCCTATCCATTTCCATCGTCTTTTCTTAATTTGTTCTTCAGCTGGAATGTGGTTTTTTCTCTCCCAGAGAAGGCTGTTGCTGATGGTATCCGGCCAATGGATGTTGCGTATCTTGCGTAGATAACTATTTATAAATACTTGTAGCTTTTTGATGGTGGTTGTTGTAGTTCTGTACAGTAGAACTGACAGTGTTGACGTTGGTATTGAAGATTGTGACTTTGATAGTGGCTTGTAGGTAGTTGTTTTGAGTTCCATATGTTCTTCAATTGTAGGAATGCGGCCGTTTGCAAATGTTTCCCCATTTTCGTTCCTCTCTTCCAGTCCATGTCGTCCCATGATATCTTCATATCTGGTGTTGTGTATTCCGACTTTGGCGTTTAGATCTCCCATCAGAATGGTGAGGTCGTTTCTTGGACACCTCTCTATGATTGATTGCAGCCTCTCATAGAATTGATCTTTAATGTCGTCGTTGCTATTATTATTTGGGTGCATAACATTGGATAATATTCATTGTGATCCCCTCTTTCTTTGTTTTGAATGATGCTTTGATGATTGTGGATCCGTGAGATTTCCATCCTACAAGTGCACTTCGTGCTACTTTGAACAAAATTAGAGCAAGTCCCTGAGTATGTGGAGCATTTTCCTGTTCGTGACCGGAGTACAGCAGCATCTCTCCCGTATTTAGGCTTTGTTGTCCAGCTTGGGTCAAATGGGTTTCACTGATTGCCAGTACTGCTAAGTTGTATCTCCTCATTTCCGTTGCTATTAGACTGGTCTTCGACATTGTCCGGATGTTCTATGTACCTATAAAAATGTTGGTCTGGTTGTTAGAATGGGCATCGGCCTCGTGGCTTCTGAAGGAACTTGGCTTTCACCATGAGGTGTCATATTTCTTCTAAATGAAGACGTTCTAACTCCCATGAGAGAGTGTAGATGGTTTGAATTATTTTTTCTGTATAGCATTTTTTAGAGAGTTAGTTTTCTACAGTATGGGACCGCCAACCACATGCCTAACCCTCCTCGTTTACCCGGGCTTGGGATCGGCAGTAACTCTAGACGAGCTACAGGCGGAGTTTGTAACTTACATTTATATATATATATATATATATATATATATATATATATATATATATATATATATATATATATATATATATATATATATATATATATATATATATATCAATAAAATCATGAAAATCGGTCACCAGATATTAAATTCAGAATTTAGCTTACTTACCACACCCCGTTTAAACTAACATATTTCATTTCAGTTCATTTTGTATTTATGCAGTTTATTGTTTAAATGGTTTAAATTTATTTTTCGGCAAGACTATAATTTATGGACGGGGCAATAAGATTTATGATAACAGATTTTTTCACTTTGGCTCCAGACTCATTCACTTATTTGTTTAAATGGCCTTTCGGCATTTTTGCTTATGTCAGTTCGTGATGAAAAACTATAAATCTAAATCCTAACCCTTACTATCAACTGTAAATCATAATCCTTAACATCGCTCTAAGGTCGTCCATTAATCATAGTCTCACCGTTTTTTCTAGTTAGCATTTATTAACAAGGTTGTTTTCTATGGTGTGTGGTTAGTGACGTCATACACAACCCTCCTTTTCCTGGGCTTAGGAACATCAGTATCCCTAGAAGAGCTACAAGTATTAATTTGCGAATTGCTACAAATTATTTTATCTCTTACTATCATACTTTTCACAGGCTTCGGCCTATCTTAAACAAGGTAAATATGCTGAAGCTGAAAAATTATATAAAGAGGTACTTACACGAGCTCATGAAAAAGAATTCGGAAAAATTTCTGATACAAACAAACCTATTTGGATGCTTGCAGAAGAACGTCAGTCCGGTCAGTTAACCAATGCAAATAAAGATATTAGTGAAACTGTTCAATCAATGTGGTCACGCATTTCTCGTTCAGAAAAGTAAGTAGGAAATTTTGATTGGTCTCCATTCTTGATTACCTACTGCCTGTTATTTTTATTTCTGTCTAACTGTTCAATATCGGTTCAATTATAATCGATTATATAGTCAGATTAATTTGAACATGTTTCCCATATAACCATAGTCTAATACGGAAACACTGATGTTTTTTAAGATGACCATAATAATATGAATTGATCACTTTACTGTAATTGGAGTTCAAAATTCATTACATATATATGTATATGGAGACAATAAGTATTTGCTGATTCGCCTTATTATTAAGCTAGATTTATGATTCTTAGGTCGACACGTAACTAGTTTTCATCACGAAAGGATATAGATCGTAGAATTCTCAGGTGATTCGTATGGTTTGAAAAATTGCTCAGAAACCAAAATTACTCTTATCCAGTCAAAATCTTTTGATGTCGACTGATTATACCCTAACCCGATTGTTCGAGTGTCATATTTATTGCTTATGTTAGTATTTTCCCAAAAACCTCAGGCCACCGGCAATAATCTTATAAATCTTTTTCGCGGTAATAAAACCAACCTTAGGAGTAAAAGTTTTTCATATTTCCTGCCTTTTGATTTTTGTTCGTGCTTCAAGTAAAGATTGCTATTTAAAAATCTCATAAGAACACAGTGTTTCAAGCGTCCAGAATACCAGACACCATTTAGAAACAATAAACAACTGAATATAAGATTTATGTTTTAATGTTATTTAATGTATTCTCGTTTTACCGTATATTCCCTTTCTACGTTGTCCCATTCCTAACGAATCCCATTCACAAGTGAATAACAAATTTTCTCTCTCTTAATGCCTAGTAATAATATTTATAGAGAATCTAAAGGTTTTTTTCAGTACTGAAAATGTTTTGTTTGTTTGGCGTTTACTCATTGAGTTTTTTTGCAGGAATGGAAAATAAACTGCTTTTTTATATATTATTTCAGAAATGATTTCTATTATAGTTTGGTTTTATATTATTGCTTATTTAATGAGTACGTACAAGAATTTAATTTTAAGTAAAGGAGACGAAAGTAGGCTTAGACATCATATTTGCATGCGATGATTAGAAATTGTCACATCTAAGTGTGTTGATCCGAATTTGATTATGATAGACTTAAAATCTTCACTTTAATGTCATTCTATGCTTTTTTTTCAGGATATCTTATTGATTTCTGTCAAATACTATCTTTACTTATATTTCTATCGTAATATCAATATTATTATTTTCACTTGTTCTTTTTTCAAACTACTAATTTCCACTCCATACTTTACTGATGCAATATTTACCGATTGTAATAGATCTACATTTGCATCACGCATTATATTGTTTATGACCAAGTTAATAGAGAGGATATATGAGGGAGAAAATCACACCTCACCTAACTGTTCTTCTGGTTGCTATATAATAAAACTCAGTCTCTTGTGAAAAAGATTATTTTTTCTAATTAATCATAAGGTACTTATCACTTTAATTGCCTTAAGCGAACAATTAGATAAAGGTCTGGTAGTGTTATACACAGGGAAATCAACAATTATACACAAATCAATATCTTTATTATGCCCTATGATGTTGTTCAGAATCATGTTCTATATTTCAATATTCTATGTTCATTCTTTTTTCTAAAGAAGCCTTCTTAATGTTTCTTTTCTCTTATTGCAATATTTGCTTCTTTGTGTCGGTTTTATTTCGTAATGATGGGGAAAAGTTTGACAATAGAGCTGTTAAACACAACTACCTATAAAGCTAGTTCTAAACAAAAAATACAAATTGTTCATTAATAATAATGACAAACTATTTGTTTTAATTTCTACTATTTTTGTTCTAACCACACGTTTTTTTTTAATAATTTGATCTATTTAAAGATATGGGGAAGTTTTTTCTAATGTTTACTTTTTTGATTCTTACTTTTAGCCAAACTGAGTGTTTTTCTCTGTTTTTCACTAGAAAACATCTCATTCTTAAAAAATCTACATTATACAATCTCAAGGAATTAATAAATGTGAACTTTCTTTCTTGTATTTTATTAAGATTATTAGATTAAAACGTAATAAAATTTTAGCTTATATTCCTTTTCTGTGCTCAATTCATTTATTTATTGATGTTTACACGTACTCACATTGATAAGCTGTAATAGCATTCGCGTCAAATGACGCGATAGGTTAATATTTATTTATTGACAGTAAGCTTTTGAGGTACACGTAGTCATTCACTGACTTATGAAGTAAATTATTATTAAAATAATTTAATTAATTCTTCACTTTGATTTTTTTTCTCTTCGTTTCTACTATTGAATTTTGGTTACTTAAAGTACAATTAACAGTATTCAACATATGTATAATAATGTTATAATTTCCATTTCATATTTTTAGTTTTATCATCTAAACATTCCAGTTACCATACTTAATTAAGCTAATCGATTTTTATTCACCTTATAGGTATACAAACATAGTTTTATATTTATTTTTCATATTTTTAGAAATAAATGGTCAGAAACATTTGCTTAGCCATCACTGTTTATCCAGCAATATTTTGATGACTCAACCACTTTACTTTCAACTATTGTGTTTCAGGTTTGAATCCCTTAACTTAAGGGGCTAAATAATATCAATAACTTCCAAATAAAAATGGATACTTAGTTTTTGAATTTTGTCCAACTTAATATTGAATCAGTTTATTGATATAATCGCTCAACAGTTCAAATTGTTATACATTTAAAATCTGTTGCTTGTTTTGACAGGCAAGATAAATTATCGAAATTAATCAAAAGAAATGTGTCATAAAGTATGAAGGAATATTTTAGCAGTCTAAAAGACTGAAGAAAATGAATTCTCTTAATGACAAACAATTTCGAATCATCTTACTGCATATTTTCAATCATTAGTGTATAAAAAATCAAGATTTTCGAATAATTACGTTGATTATTATTAATCTTCTTTCTTCCAATTACTCAATGTTAATTTATAATCGAAATGTCATTATGTAATTATTACGTAACGTATTCGCTCGATGAGTATTATTTCATTATTATAAATCATATATATTAGTGTAGAGCCATGATGAAAAACTTCGCTCGATTCGTTCCTTCTTTATTTACCAAATGCCAAAATGGAAAAATCATATGGCTAGCCGGTAAAGTTATATCTTCATTCATAACTCAGATATTCAGTTAACTCTGAATTAATATCTAGTCCGAATCTATTCATCGAAAATTAAGTGTTTTAGACAGTCTTTTTGAATCAGATAGTGTATAGGAAACCACAGTAAATTTCGTTCATTTCTGTTGATATTCACTTTCTAGTTTACCTTCTTTGTCTTAACTCCCACTGCTTAATGTCAGTCACGCTAACTTGATATCAACGCCATATATTTCATGTTGTAACTTCAATATCTCAGTTTCCGTTTGCAGGGAAATTTTTAAACTTAATGAGTACAAATTTCTAGTTTTTTTTTATACTGAAAAACTGTTTTATTTTTTCATTACACAGTCCAACTGTCGGTACAACTCTTCGAAATTTGGTTGCCCTTTATCGTAGACAAGGTAAATTCGATGCGGCTGATATAATTGATGAGTGTGCTTCATACTCTAAGACGTCATCATCTGTTTCTGAACCTGTAAGTCGTACATATTTCACCTTTATCAATTGTTATTAAATTTGCCTTGGCTTTATATTATTTTATCGTGTGGGTAAAGTTTTTGACATTGGTTTACTTCAGAAACTTTTTCCCTATTTTGAAAGGTTTATAAAGCATCAAGGTTTGGCTTGATAATTTTAAATAAATTAGGCATTGAATAAATTGTGTATGGTGATAAGATCGTAATATTCATTTGGAACATCCTAATAAGCAGAAAATTGAGTTTTCGACATTTTACAACATAATTAAAGTTGGTTTGTCAGAAAGTAAGTAGACGTTTCCGAATTGACACATTTAAATCGCGATTGTATTATTTTAGTCATCAAGTTTTACACTTGAAAACAAAAAGTTCTATTTTTTACTTCCTAATTTTAACAAATTTTAGTAGAATTTGATTTTAATGACAAAAAATATGCTAATATCTTTCCCTTTTACTCGCCTGTCAGTATTTATTTCCGCATTCAAAAATTAGACAAACATATAACTAGTTGTTCCCATACACTTAGTTCTTTATAGTTTATATAACATCCATAAGGCGTTTGTTACCTTATTCCATTTTCATTCTCTGTACTCGTTTAGAAATTTTATTTCAACTCTGTTCTTGTACATCATTTCGTGGCTATGTTTTCCAAATCTTGAATTCCTGTGATACTTGTTTGAATTTTTAACTGATTAGGCGATTAAAGTACTCCACTGTTGATTTACTGGCTTTATCTTCAGCTGTCGGATGGTTTCATCAACTTTTGCACTGGAAGAGTACATAAACTTGTGTTTAGCTATAAATTCGATTTTCGTTGTCTGAACATAGATCACGTAGTTCATAGGTATTTGTTTCGAGTTGGATAGATCATTTTACTTTCATATCTATGCATTTACGATTTCTCATTTTTAAATTAGGACTATGAACAGCTGGAACATAAGCCACGATTTCCAATCAATGATCAATATCCTAGGCGAGGTTATCCACGCCATCCATATCAGCGTGTTGAAGATAGATCTATGATCACTTCTTCACGTAGTCTACTTGGCCCTCCGAATGGTCACCCTATCAATAGACGATCATTTCCTCCTAGTCGTGGGTTTTTCAGGTAGCTTAGCTTTCTCTAGCGCCCCGGTCTATTCTCTAATTCATTTGCACTTAAACGTTGGCCTTTAGTAGAGCTTCTGTTTGCTGCACTGCATGATTATATGATCCATCACAATTTTAGTCTCTTGATTTAGCAGTTTAACCCGAATTTGCTTCTTTAGTAATTATGATTCAACCTTTGGTGACGTTATTTAAATGAAGGTATTTATTATTCAAGCTTTTCGTTTAATATATATATACATAAATTTTGTGTCAAGATGTTCTTTTTAAGAACATTGTTGGGATTTTTCCTTCTGTCTTTCTTCCTTGCTGTTCCTTTTTTATTTTTCTAAATATATTACTTAGACACTGATTTTGTTTGCCCTTCCTTACTCTGTATTTGGTTTATTAGAAAAGATAAAATATGTGATCCTATTTAATGAATATAACCAATTAATCAATGACCGGTTTTATGAATTAAATATAGACCACTTAACCAATATTTTATTGGTAATGATTGGCCAATGTAGATCAGACTCATTTTTTCTCTGAATACCATTTAGGATTTGAAGGAATGTGAAGTGTTGGATACATTAATAGAATAATATCTATTTTGAATCATTTAAACCTTTCTTACAATACTCTTCTGGTCCACATGACACCATACATAAACATAAATAATGCTTAGGTATACGTAAGGTATTTTTCAACCTTTTCAGTTGCTTTAACTATATCACTATATGTATTTTCTATTTGGAATTTTACTCATACCCTTAGTTATTTATTTTCCAGTCCCATTGTACAAATGATGCTTTTATGATACAAATATCCAAATTCATGCATCGTTTTTACTTCAGTATTCAGAGTTCATGCTATTGGGTATTTTCCAGAATGATATATCTACAATCTTAAAAGGACTGACGCTAGACGACGTGACACCACAGTATCACAGCTAAAGATGCTGTAAATCCTCCATTCAACTTGAAACCGACCTATCTTAAGACTGAGATACTTACACTAATTAATTACTTCGTCTACTTTAACCACCATCACTGAGTCATATAGTGAAATATTGGTTATTACCTACTAAACTGTCGCTATTAGAACACCCCCAGGGGTTGCAACGAAGCTAATTAGGCGGATCCTTTTACATCCACTACTTTACTCTTGAACTTCAGATATGTAAGAGAATACTGATTAATTGTGTTTTATTACAATCATAAGAAGTTGTTCTTAACGCGTCTTTATAATTATTTTCTGTACTTAATAAGTGTGGTTCTGTACTATTAATATTACTTTTTTCTTCGAAATGTTCTATTTAGTTATCATTATGCAACAAACAGTCGATAAAACAATACTAACTACTGTAAACTTTAGAATTTCATCTATTTTTAAATATTAATTCTACAAATGAAGAAATATTGCTTATATTCAGTTCATCGCCTAATATATCGACGTAATCCTATTGTAATTTCTCGTTCTACATGAATGTAACTAGAATGAGTCACTTTTTAATTATCTAATAGCTGTTACACTACTACTCCCTGTGTTACTGCTATTGCTACCATCAGTGATTTTTGTTATATAAAATTTACGGATGAAAGTTTTTGTATATTATGCATCTATTAACATTTAAAATGAACCGTAGCAACTATGATTAGCAATTATACTGCTTTTATGTATTTTTACCACTGTTAATTAGTAGTTTATATATATATATATATATATATATATATATATATATATATATATATATATATATATATATATATATATATATATATATATATATATATATGCTTGTTTTATTAACCTCTTCCTCTTTTGACTCCACAAATCTCTATATCACAATGTTCTGGTTATACACTCATATTTACAGCATCAAAAAGGCCCAATCAATGTCAACCCTTCCAGGAAGCTCTAATAATAAGATGTTTTATATGCAGGTTAGTATATTTTGAAATGTTTTATTCCATGTTTCTGTATGATTATATCGATGTTTAATTTCCTACAAGCGGATTTACTTTCCATCTAGTAAATGCACAATATAAATGTTAGGTATAGATAGCAGAAGTTCACATCACTTACGAGCATTTTTCGAAATTATTGGTGATGTATATTCAGTAGGAAGAAGCGCATTGTTGATTTTTGTACTCCCAAATTGCAAGTGGACCAGTGAAATATTAAATGTCAATGATGCTATCAAAGTTTGAGATGTTATAATGGGTTTTTAGAAGATACCAGTTTAACTTAGCCATATACGAATTATGTGGTAATTCACCCATATGAAGCATACTTGGTTATATACATTGTTGATTTATTTAAAATCAGTATTGCTGAAACTGTGCTGATAATTATCTACTTTTCATTAACATAAATTTGATGTTACTTTGATGGACATAGATTTTAATCGCTGTCTAGTATTTTAGTCAATTTTAACAAACTTTTGAATATATAAGAACTTTCTTCTAAATTAGATCGAATAGTTTCACAGTATTTGGGTGCCGAGTTAATGTGATACATTAAAGAGGAAGAATGTATTTATAAAATCTCAGCGAAAAAATTTGAAATGAATCCAACGTTTCGCTGAGATTCTACAAATACATTCTTCCTCTTTGAGACTTGGAATAGTTTTTGCGATACTAGTTGAAACCTGTTGGGATTGTTACATTTAGCTTAGATAAGTCAATACATTTTTCAATAGTTCCTCGTCTTCACTGATCGTCAAGTCAGATATCATCTTTTTTTTTCAACTTCAACGTGACGTGAAATCTCCCATATTGTTTATAAGTACCTTTACGAATATTCTTTATTTTGTAATTAAATTACGATTTTACGACTTTGCTCACCAATTACTCTCACTATGTACTATTTAAAAAAAAACACCGGTTTTGACAGTTCCTTATTTAAATAAATAATCAGGTAATTTGAAGTTACGTACTTAATTGAACTCAGTGTGCGAGACTGTATCACTCATAAATTTATAAAACAATTTCGATATCGGTATGCCAAGTTCATTAACTGTAAACCGTAAAATACCAATGAAAAACTCAATGTGAGCATTTTGGGAAATTCTTATCACAAAAAGTGACAGTTAACATTCATTGGAACAGATTTAAAGTTTGATAGCTCTTTGCTCTTAGTCTAGCTAGAATAAAGAAGCTTCAGTAAAGATCGTTGTCTTCTAGGTAATATTATACTTTGAAGCTGTGTGATTGCATCCATTATTTATACCAATAGGTATGAGTTTATCATTTTAAAGAGGAACACAACGCGATTTCATTGTTAAATCTTCGTGTGCAAGATAGATGTAAACCAATCATAAACTTGACCAAGTGCTTCGCCACCGGAGTTTCAATATATGAGGTGCTTCTCAGGGAGATTGGAGAGTGTGCCTCTTCTCTATAACTGACTTTTGTAAGGATGCAAACCTTGCACAATATCTAATATACCCTCCGTTTAAATCTTTGATTAGCTTTACATCTATAGGATTTACCATTCAAATTAATAATTTCGAGACTTTGGAATGTGAAGTTTTATAGAGAATAATCTCTACTGGTCTGTCTTCTGAGGCGTTCTGTACCCACAAAGTCACCTATTAGAAAACAATTTGTGGTTGTTATTCACTATTTACGACCGTTTTTTACTGTCGTCTCTTGATCTGTTTACATTTATAGCAGGAAAGGCTTAGACAACTGCGTAGTGGTTCAACTAATCCAAAAGAAATTTATACCCAAGATGGTCATACTAATAACAGTAATAATTATTTTCCCCTTGATGGCTATGGTACACGATCCCAATATATGTTTGACTTCAATCCATCTTTAAACAACAGTTTGAATCATTAATTCCTTCTTCTTTTGCGTTTATGGTCTATTTAAAATTATGAAATTAGCAATTACACTTGTGTTTTAAAATATCCTCTTTCGTTATTTTTTACTTGTTTGTTTATTCTCACCTCTGATCCATAGTAAAAGTTATTACTTTCTCTCTATGTTTACCTACTTATGTGTGTAAAGTGTGATTAGGTGAGTAATTGTGTTAGTAGGATTGAAATATCATTTCTTTGTTTTTATTTATATGAAAATTTATTTGTCTTTTCCATCCTGTTGCCATTGTTTGTTGTCATCATCAATAGGATAACCGGTCGCGATTATTATACTGTGAGCTCTGAACATTAACGTATATCATTACTTAATTTTTGGCTGTGATGAATAAATTGTGCAGATCTATATGTGAACTTTGTTCAGTTTTATTCGAAAAAAAACGTTGCACATATGTTATTAAAAGAAAACTCATGTGTGTGTGCATTCGTGCATGTGTGTGTTACTTCACGATTTCCCTTGTTTTGTTTTATGTTGCTGAATTAAGTTCCTTTTTTAAGGAGCTGTATATCTCGAGTGTCATAATTCATTTTTCAAAGAAAAAGATGTAATGAAACACTTATTCAGCTATAATTTATAAAGGCAAATATTTGTGTCTTTATTCGCTATAACTGATACATCTTTGCAAAACAGTATAAATCAATACGTTCTCTTCTCTATAGTCTCTTATATCTTGATTATTTTGTTTTATCATTGTTCATTTTTGTGAATGCAATAAAAACGTGCGCCTAAATTTTTGTTCAGCTGTTTTCTCCATGTCAAATTGACTACATTCCTGTTTCTCTCTCTGTGTCAATCTCTATACATCTCTCATTCAAACCGTATCGTTGGTGCTTATCTTTGTGCACATCTCAAACGTGAGATAAGGATATATGATTATATTTTTGTTTCGTGTTCTTTCATATTAAAATACAATTATGCATTTCTTAACATATTCATCTCTTTTTCTACACAAATTTGTCTTCCTTTTTAAACTACAATTAACCTGATAGGACTCTTATCCACTCCTATGTATCCTCATCGCGTATGAAAAATTTCTTTCAGTGTCTAAAATTGCCTCCGTAACTAAGTTTATGCTGAAAATACTAGACACCTACGCCAAAATTAGTTGCCATAGCTTTGTTCATAAGGTGGATGTTGAGTAGGGTTTTTCGATCTACAATACATCGTTAACGAATAGATACATACCTGTTTGCGTAAAATTAGTTTATAACAGGCTTATAGAACCACATATTCAGAATTTCCTTTATTAGTCAACTGGATGTCGATAATTCTGGTATTCGCTATACTAATTTTAATAAGGTAAAATAAACTTGCCCATATTTCATGTATCAGAATGAAGTTCTTTGGAACATAAAGTCAACTGTAATTTCTTAAGCCCTGCTATATTTACAAATTAACGAGTTAACACTACCAATGTAATTACATAAAAGGTTTACTTGCTACCGATCTCAATTAGTTGGTTTTTGTGTTCTGTGATGGTTCCTATGCCAACGAAGTTTTTCCAATTCATTAGGGAGAAAACCCTTTCTCTACTTGAGTAACTGAAATGTTTCATTAGCTCGTATACTTTAAGAACCTTTAAAGTTGGCTCGCTTCACCACCATTCGTAAGACTTTCATCTGTTCATATCGTTAAATTTGTCAAATGTTTGGTACTACATCCAGTAATAACAACCCGAGCTTTCGAAGTCTTATCCCTAGTCTCTTGCATCTGCTTTTCAAAACTGAAAGCTATTGATTTAAGTGTTCAAAAATTGAATCTTATAAGATACCATATTTTATCAATCGAGATTCTAAAACATCCCATAGATATATATGTTATGTCTGAGATCAATATGTATACCTCGTATGTTGTTATTCATTTGACTTCACCTAACTGGTTAGGAGACCAGATCAGTTCAACCTTCAATTATCTGAAGACTCGAAAGAAATTTCCTCTAATCTCTCAGATGTTGATTAAATAACAGGATTGATACTTCTGACCTCGATTGTAGTAAGTCGTTGATTGTACGCAGTTCAATTAAATAGGACAGTACTTACACCTGTTACTCCTCGTGAAAAAGCATAGGACCCTCAACAGCATTCGCCATCCAACCCTGTCCTGGGCAATCATTTCCAGCTCCTTCCATCTGTCATTCATCCTTTTCATGTGTCTCTCCTACTTCCCCATGTAATGTGTTCTTTGTCTTCCTCTTTTCCGCTCCCCTTCAGGATTCCAAGTTAGGACTTGCTTCGTGATTCAGTTTGATGATTTGCTTAATGTATACCCTATCCATTTCCATCGTCTTTTCTTAATTTGTTCTTCAGCTGGAATGTGGTTTTTTCTCTCCCTGAGAAGGCTGTTGCTGATGGTATCCGGCCAATGGATGTTGCGTATCTTGCGTAGATAACTATTTATAAATACTTGTAGCTTGTTGATGGTGGTTGTTGTAGTTCTAGAAGTTTCAGTTCTGTACAATAGAACTGACAGTGTTGACGTTGGTATTGAAGATTGTGACTTTGATATTGGCTTGTAGGTAGTTGTTTTGAGTTCTATATGTTCTTCAATTGTAGGAATGCGGCCGTTTGCAAATGTTTCCCCATTTTCGTTCCTCTCTCCCAGTCCATGTCGTCCCATGATATCTTCATATCTGGTGTTGTGTATTCCGACATTGGCGTTTAGATCTCCCATCAGAATGGTGAGGTCGTTTCTTGGACACCTCTCTATGATTGATTGCAGCCTCTCATAGAATTGATCTTTAATGTCGTCGTTGCTATTATTATTTGGGTGCATAACATTGGATAATATTCATTGTGATCCCCTCTTTCTTTGTTTTGAATGATGCTTTGATGATTGTGGATCCGTGAGATTTCCATCCTACAAGTGCACTTCGTGCTACTTTGAACAAAATTAGAGCAAGTCCCTGAGTATGTGGAGCATTTTCCTGTTCGTGACCGGAGTACAGCAGCATCTCTCCCGTATTTAGGCTTTGTTGTCCAGCTTGGGTCCAATGGGTTTCACTGATTGCCAGTACTGCCAAGTTGTATCTCCTCATTTCCGTTGCTATTAGACTGGTCTTCGACATTGTCCGGATGTTCTATGTACCTATAAAAATGTTGGTCTGGTTGTTAGAATGGGCATCGGCCTCGTGGCTTCTGAAGGAACTTGGCTTTCACCATGAGGTGTCATATTTCTTCTAAATGAAGACGTTCTAACTCCCATGAGAGAGTGTAGATGGTTTGAATTATTTTTTCTGTATAGCATTTTTTAGAGAGTTAGTTTTCTACAGTATGGGACCGCCAACCACATGCCTAACCCTCCTCGTTTACCCGGGCTTGGGACCGGCAGTAACTCTAGAAGAGCTACAGGCGGGGTTAAATAGGACAGTATTTCTAAGGAGAATATATTTACATTTATACTGACTGCAGATACGATGAAAGAAAAGTGGTCTCTGTCTACAGTTTCCTAACCTTAAATGACTAGGCTTTCAAGATATTTTCACTCGATGAACCTAACGATCAGTTTGGTAGTCTCATTCAAATAGAAAAATGTCTCTGTGAGTGTAATTTTGAGTATCTGCTGCTCAGGATTTCAGTCATTGAAGCAAGACATCAATTTTAGGCATAATGAAGATGCTGATTTGAACAGCTTAGAAGTTAACTACGTCACTGGCGAAGTGTTTTTTATTCGAAAATTCAACCTCTTGAGCATTTTCAGTGGAAGAAATACTTGAGATTTATTACTCTTCATTTGCAGAGTATTACGTAGGCACTGATATGAGTCAACACTGTTTTCGATAATTAATTATTCCTACGTATCCACAAGCTTATTCATGTTGGTAGACTAATCAAGCATGGTAAATTAGTGACGGGACTACTAAAAAGGTGCTTTGTTTTCTCTAAACTCACATTTTTCCAGCCTATTCAAATGATGAGCCTGCAGAATATGATCACTTAATCTCCAAAAGTTCACTGATATCTATATTTTATAGCTACGCCATGTAACGAAAGAAACATGAACTTCCTAGTCCATCAATATTTCTTGCTCTATTGAAAGATGTAAATGTAGGCTTTATTTCGACCTCACTTGGCTAGCGAAGTGGCACTATAGCTCACACTCCATTTATCTAGTTGTTCCTGTTACATTTCATAAACTTGAGTTTGTTCAAATCGCATCAAATAAAAGATCGAAAATCCCATTTTCTTCCTAAGGTTATTTAGCTGAATGTTGTTTCAAAAACGCAGTTAATGAACTACTAATTAGTATGCTAATATAATGAGCTAATCGAGGGGTATCGGTAAAATGATTGATTTAGTGAACGGTCCCAAAATGTAACGGAAGAGGTGACAATTGTTGTTGGAGTTACATGGTCTTCCAAAATTATGCGACAAACGGATAACGATGGGTATACTAAGAACTTCATTACTGGAATGGATTAGGTGGTTGAATTGATAATTTGCTCAGAACCGCTTCTTAAATCCCAACTGGATAGATCTTGGATGGCCCAACCGGCTACTAAACGAGTATATGGATATACATATATTTTGAGAATCAAAGCTATTATTTTTATATACAATATTATGGCTGTGTATCAGTCGTCAACTAACGTATGAATATTAAAGAATAATGTGACATAACATTCATTGATTATTTACTTCAATTAGACACATCTAATCACAACGAATTTTGTGAATCTATAAATCTGCGGTTCACACATCTGTAATGAGGGTTATTAAAACATTTTGAAAAATACTTAGTGATGATGTCCCAAGACTGAAATAAGGCTAGAATGATAAGTAGTACATACATTTAAGATAAATTATTACTTACTTACGCCTGTTACTCCCAATGGAGCATAGGCCGCCGACCAGCATTCTCCAACCCACTCTGTCCTGGGCCTCCTTTTCTAATTCCATCCAATTCTTCATCTTTTTCATGTCTATTTCCATTTCTCGGTGTAATGTGTTCTTTGGTCTTCCTCTTTTCCTTTGGCCTTGAGGATTCCATGTGAGGGCTTTTCTTGTGACGCAGTTGGATGCCTTCCTCACTGTGTGTCCTATCCACTTCCAGCGCTTCTTCCTGATTTTGATCCTCCGCTGGGATCTGGTTTGTTCTCTCCCACAGTACGTTGTTGCTGATAGTGTCTGGTCAACAGATCTGAAGTATTTTGCGTAGACAACTGTTAATAAACACTTGTATCTTCTGGATGATGACCTTCGTAGTTCTCCAGGTTTCTGCCCAATACAGTAGAACTGTCTTGATATTTGTATTGAAAATCCTGACCTTGGTGTCGGTTGACAGTTGCTTAGAGTTCCAGATGTTCCTCAGTTGTAAATATACTGCTCTTGCTTTGCCGATTCACGCCTTCACATCTGCATCAGATCCACTCTGTTCATCAATGATGCTGCAAAGATATGTAAAGGTTTTTACATCTTCCAAATCTTCTCCGTCAATTGTGATTGGATTGGTGCATGCTGTGTTGTATCGGAGAATCTTGCTTTTCCCTTTGTGTATATTGAGCCTACTGCTGCTGAGGCTGTTGCCCACACTGGTCGTTTTCTCCTGCAGTTTTTGTTGCGTTTGGGATAGAAGGGCCAGATCATCTGCGCAGTTTAGATCGTTCAACTGCATCCTAGATGTCCATTGTATCCCGTGCTTCCCTTCAGATGTTGACGTCTTTATGATCTAGTCGATCACCAGGAGAAAGAGAAAGGGTGAGAGTAAGCAACCTTGCCTGACGCCGGTCTTCACTTCGAATGACTTTGTCAACTGTCATCCATGCACGATTTTGCTGTGTTATCCATCGTATGAACTCTGTATGATATTGACTATCTTCTGAGGCACGCTGTAGTGTCGAAGATGTTTCCATAGTGTTGTTCTGTCCACGCTATCAAATGCCTTTTCGTAGTCAATGAAGTTGATGTAGAGTGATGAATTCCATTCAAT